AGTGTTCAGAGTTACGAAGTATCTTCTTCTCAGTTGCTAACAGAAAAACATTGGGGGTACGGAACTCTGCAAGGTACTTGTGACTAAATTTACTAAGTTAGCTACCCACTATGCTAAAGGTTAGAGTACTCATACTCAGCTTGCTCTCAAATAAACACAAGGATGCCTCTAATCACACTCCATCTCTGAACACACAGCTGAATACCTCAGGGCTACTTTCTCTCCTTTGCCTTCATGCTATTTAAGTGTCTCCAGATATCTTAAAGTGTCTTCAGAATTCCATTCCTCTTGGCCTGTGCTTTAGTGATATAATTAAGCAGTTTCTCCCCCACTACAAAGCTTTTACCTTTTTCATCTCTCTCTAGGCTCTATCACGTGAGGTGCTAATGTGAAGTCAACAGGAATCAAGGGTGCTCAGCATCTCATGTGATCAGGCCCAGAGATATTTTAGAGCCTGCCTTTTTACTCATCCACCTTATCTTTTCCTCCAGTTGTATCCTCTCTTTTTCACTTTATTTAGGCCTTGAGCCTGCAACAGAATTAGAGCTTCTGTTGTTCAGAATTTATTAATTTCATTGTTGGGTTTTTGGTTTTAAAAAGCACCGAGATCTATGTAGATATAAAAAAAACAAACTGTAATGAGTAGGGCCCTACCAAATTCACAGCCATGAAAAACGCATCATGGACCATGAAATCTGGTCTTGTGTGCTTTTAACCCTATACTATATAGATTTCACAGGGGAGACCAGTGTTTCTCAAATTGGGGGTCCTGACCCAAAAGGGAGTTGCAGGGGAGGGGGGGGGGTCACAAGGTTATTTTGGGGAAATCATGGTATTGCCACCCTTACTTCTGCACTGACTTTAGAGCTGGGCGGCCGGAGAGCGGTGGCTGTTGGCCTGGCTCCCAGCTCTGAAGGCAGTGCCCGGCCAGCAGCAGTGCAGAAGTAAGGGTGGCAATACAATACCATACCATGCCATGGCAGCAGCGCAGAAGTAAGGGTGGCAATACCATACCATGCCATCCTTTCTTCTGCGCTGCTGGTGGTGGTGACTCTGCCTTCAGAGCAGGGTGCCCAGCCGGCAGCCGCCTCTCTCCAGCTGCTCAGCTCTGAAGGCAACGCCACCACTAGCGGCAGTGCAGAAGGGTAGCAGCAACTCCCCAACAATAACCTTGCGATCCCCCCATAACACCTTTTTGGGTCAGGACCCCTAAAATTACAATACTGTGAAATTTCAGCTTTAAATAGCTGAAATAATGAAATTTACAATTTTAAAAATCCTATGACCATGAAATTGAGCAAAATGGACCGTGAATTTGGTAGGGCCCTAGTAATGCGTGTGTGACGGAGGGCTCTACTCACTGGTGGATGGCACTGCCTTGTGGTGGTTCTGGGGATTAGCTCTGCCAGGTCAACAGCCCATCCGGCACTCCATCTCTTCTCCTCTCTAGTCCCAGGAACTGCAGCCTCCTCTTTGTGACTCAGGCCAGGTCGCTATATTGTTTCCCTTTCCGGGGGTGAGCCAAAGTCTCTTCTCACCAGCAGTCTCAGACAACCTTCCCATTCACTGCCCCAGGTGCCACTCCCTCAGTGGCTGGTAGCAGAACCCAAGTCCACCCTCTACTCGGGGTTCCAGGTCAGGGACACTAGTCAGCAGCCATCTGTTCCCTCCTGAACCTTGCTGCCCCTCTCCCCCCGAGCTGCTTCTATACCTTCTGGCTCTCCCTACTCCTCTGGGTTTGCAGCCCAAACTCCCACCTCCCAGGGAATAACCATAGGTTACCTGCCTCTGTAGCCCCAACCACACTTCCTTTCTCCCAGGGAGTGACTGCAGACTACTTCCCTGCAGCCCTTTTCTGCTGCCAGATTCCTGGCTTTATAAATCTGGCCCAGCTCCTCCCACAGCTGGACTTCCTCAGCCAATTAGGCCTTAGCACTCCTTGGCTTTCCTCCAGGTGCTGCTTATAGGTTAATTGGCCTAATTTACTCAATCAAGCCTTGTGTGGGGTGGACACCCCCCATTAGTGTCAAAAAAGAGTGCTTCAGGATTTGAGAAACATCTACAGCTTTACACGGGGGGGAGAGAAAGAGTGTCTGGCTCCCAAGAGAGAGGGGTCCCATGGTTTAGGCTGAAAAGGGATCAAGGATCCAGAACCTTGACAATCATCTGGTTGAAACAAAAAAGCTAGCGTGCCCGTAAACTGCACTGCCCCGGACCTGATGCAGGAAAGCTGAGAGCTACAGTACCAACCATTTATTAAGTAAGAGTAGAGAGAGAACTTGGTAGAGACTTCTAGGCAATAGCAGCTCCTCTGCTTTTTCAAAGGGGGAGAATAGCAGCACCTCCTTCTTTCCTTTTGACCCAAGCAGACAAATGTCCCAGTAAGGGTTCAAATGCCTTAGCTCTTAAGAAGAAAGGGGAAGGAAACAACCAGAGAAAAGTTCCCACCAAGGGAACTAACATGTCGGGGAGAGTGAAAAAAAAACACCCCCCACAGATCAGGTCACGAACTAGCAATTAGAAGCTCTCTGGTTACTCTTAGCTCTGCACAGAAGAATGCATCGCTCTGTTGGAGTAGATATTGACTCTACTGGGACATTTTGGGGAAGGAAGGAGGCATCACCATTCTAGACCTTTTAGGAACAGAGGGAAAGGAACTACCAAACGACATGCATCAACTGACATTTCAGGTTGATTGTGGCTTTCTGGTATCACAGACATACCTACCTCCTTTCATTTTGTAAAGATCCCTGCACTGATAATAAATCATCACCCCTACAGGCACAAGGATCAGAGCACCAAATTTACAACAGAGCACTAACAGTGATTATATCACAGATTTTTAGTTCTATATCCCATAATGGCTGTTCTATTAGTACTCGCAGTGCTTCATGGGTGCTATGCGTTAACATTATTGCTGCAAAAGGCTTTGGAAATTGATACTATCCTTAGCTGATGGCTGGCAGAATTCCAAAGCCTGTTCTGTCCATTTCTCAACTCCATGGTGAACACTCATGCTGGGTATCAGAGGGGTAGCCGTGTTAGTCTGAATCTGTAAAAGGCAACAGAGGGTCCTGTGGCACCTTTAAGACTAACAGAAGTATTGGGAGCATAAGCTTTCGTGGGTAAGAACCTCACTTCTTCAGATGCACTTTATCAGTCTTGCATCTGAAGAAGTGAGGTTCTTACCCACGAAAGCTTATGCTCCCAATACTTCTGTTAGTCTTAAAGGTGCCACAGGACCCTCTGTTGCCTTTTACTCATGCTGGGTGTATGGTACCTTTGGATAGAAGTATGGATGCTGAAGTATACACAATTATATACAGGCACTCCTTAGCAGTTGGTTTGATGTTGGTGTATCACAGTAGAATAAGGTATTGCACATAATCAGCATGTCCTTCCAACTGTCATTTTTATTTTTTAAAATTTATCCCTTTACACAGTAATTTGGTTTGAGTAGGGACAACTGTGCAAAATCTTTCAAATGATTAATTCCAAAAGGGTGGAGAGGCACTGTAATGTTTAGCTGACACACACTGCTACTCAGCACGTGCCAGTTTTAAGCAGCAGGATGTATCAGTGTAAGCATGTTTAAATTCTACACTTGCTTCTGCTGAAGTGCCTTCTTCTAATGAACACAAAATAACTTCATCTCTTCATACTTTGACAGTTGCTATCAGAGTAATAGAAAGATTCTGTCTGCCCAACAAAGGGACAGGAGCTAAATTCTGATGTTATCAGATACACCAGTGTAAATCCAAAGCAACTCTATTGAAATGGAATTACTGTAGATTTACACAGGTGAGAGACACAGGAGAATCCGGTTCGGTGTGATTCGCTGAGTCAGCAAATGCAATCCTGATGGGTACTCTTGTTCAGAAAGTTGTTACAACTCAATTCACTTTCAATTAGATGTTTCTTTTATCAAACCAGCAGCAAGCAAGGAAAGGGGGTTAAAACTTGTTAACCAACTGGGAACAGAATTATGTTGGGCTTGTTTTCCTCCAAGACGTACAACAAAGGCTGAATGGACTCTGAGCAGTTGAAGGGCAGATTTCTATACGGGATGAGCTAACTGGGAACTAAGGTTTTTCTACCTCTCACTCAAAGATGTGAAGATGAACATGCACCCTTAAAATTAAGTGATTTAAAAAAAAAAAAAAAACACTCCACTCTCTTCCTCCATTAGAGTCCCTAAGGCAAAGAGAAAAAGGCTTTGTATAGAAACTGGTCATCTCTCCCCCATACTTGAGCACTATGAACAACAGTGACCAGACAAGATTGTATTAATCTGTCTCAGGCCATTTCCTTTTTCAATCAAATTCACAACAACTCTGATAAAATTGTTGAGCCTTTACTCTGGTTTATTTGTGTTTTAAACAGGTGTGGGGCAAGGTGGGAAACAATCAGCACATTTTAAAAAAACCTGTTGTGTGCTACATTTGTAAATAAATAAGCTTTAAAAAAAAGTTAGATTTATATATCTATATACACACACACACACACACACACACACGTTAACCAAATTAAATCCAAACCTTACATGAGGCCTGTCTCTTCAACACAATAAAGGAGGGGCCCTATTTTACAGCAGGCACAAAAGCTACAGCTGACTGCCCCAATTACATCAACCTGGTCAGAAGAGGCTGAGAGGAGAAACTAATGAGAGTAAGAGAAAGAAAAACTAGGTAACAACATAGATGTAGCTATAACATTTCTACACACAATTCTGCACATCCATCTCTGCTTGGTGCTCTTAGGGTGCATCACCTACTGGGATCTCATAACACATAGTGCCCAATTCTCTATTATTCACACTCTGCAGTTCTCTCATTCTTCTCCGGCATCTCCCTCTTTTCTTCCCCTATTCATCCTGTGCCCCACAATGCCTCTCCAGTTTTTTCAGATCAGATTTAGATCGAGTGTCCAGTTAGGGTAGTATAATTAAAAAGGGGAATGAGCTCTTAAGACTATTTCCACAAACAAAACAAAAAGGTTTTTTTTTTTTTTTTTTAATTATATAATAAAAGTCTGTTAAAATTCTGCAGACTTCTGGCAAGAGAAAGCTGTTCAAGTTTGGTAATTTGGCCCAGAGGTCTTTGTCTTCAAAACCTACAGACCACTGAAACTCAACTGGCAAGAAGCACGCAGTGCATGGAGCAAATACCTGACCAAAAGAAGGATGGGGTGTGAACGGGAAAAGGCCTATAATATTGAAACAAAATACTGTGAAGCAGCAACTGGCCATGAATGAAGTGTCCTATTTATGCTACACGGTACGCTTTCAAGAGCGTGAATTCCTTCCTGTTGGTGCGGGCTGCCCAGATGAAGAGGGCAGCTGCCATAAACTGTAAAGGAGCAGATACACAAGCCAGGCAGAAGGACCAGCCAAATTCACCCTGCACATCATCAGGTGGGTGCAGCTTCTTGTGGAGCAGCTCAATTCCAGCTACGTAGCAGCTGACTGAGCCCAGCGTACACAGACCTGGGGAATAAACAGTAAAGGACAATCAGCTCACAGTACAGATGCCCTGGCTGACACGGTCACGGGAAGTTACACTGCTAGGAGAGGGAGAGGACTGGAGCACAGAACAGGACCCACCTGCAAGGAAATGTAGGGCTCCTATGGCAATGGCAGGGTAGAGGCTTCGACAGGCACAAGCACAAAGGCCAATCAAAGCCCCAAAGCACATCAGCCCTAGGCTGACAAAGGGCAGGAGGAACTGCAAACGCCAAAGATCTGTGTATGAGAGAGACATCCACAGGTATGTTAAAAACATGTCAGTGTCTGACATTCTCCTTGCCCATCTATGTTCATTCCCATACTCTACGCCATCAGGGACCTTCAACCTGAGCTAGGAAGGACCACTGCCTCCTGTGAAAAGAGAGGGAGGAACTTGAATGTGTGTTCACTTACTGAGTTTTCCCACAACACTGTTCTCTGAATTAATCCTTTCCTACAGCAAACAAACAAATCTCCTACCCTTGCCTTCAAGTCATGACTAATACCCAGGGTTATTATATGAAGTGTTAGCTGAGGTGGGTAGATCAAAATAGAGTTACTTCTCTCCTTATTCTCTCACTAATGATTGAATCTGGAAGTGAAAATGTCCTCTTTTCTTTTCCTTCCCAGCCTCCTTTATCCCGCACATCTACCTGCCAGAGGTGAAAGGCACTTACAGGTCCGGTTCAGGTCACTACCACTATTGTGGTTCCCAGGCTCCATGTACTTCTCTGCAAATTGATCAGAGAGGGAAAAACTGATGCAGCTTCTGACCATATCAGTTTCTGGAGGGGGGGGAGGGGGGAGAAAAATGCAATAACCACCATTAGTTTTATTCCTTATTTTCATTTGACAATCCTGCTTCATCCAGTATCTGCTGTTCTTTTTACATGAGAAATCCCTTTACTTCTGAGAACTGTTCTCACCCTAAAAATAGTTAATCTTTATAGAGACTAGCCACTCCCCCTTATCCCACTTCTTCCTGGATCAATTCACATCACACATTTACAGCCAAAGCAATAAATACCATAACTCCTTCACAGTTCAGCACTCTCAGTGCTCTTAAATCAGGAAAGAAATATGTCCCCTTGTCAGAAGGATAAACAACTCTGTCCTACTCTCATTTTAATGAGTCATTATTAGGAGTTACAATAGTAAACTGTATTTACTAGAGATTAAGTATTACATCAGAGGAATATTGAAAAATTGTGCTGGCATATACAGGTCACTCAAGTTTTGTGTGTCAAGCTAGCTTTACAGCCAGCTGCCTCGTCCCTTACATGACACCTCAGGAAGGTTGTTGTGGTAGCTGAAAATAAAGTATCTAATATGCGTGAGTGCTGACCAAATTATTATAGTGAGTGCTTAACTATGCAACCATAATTTTCTTTATACTGATATTCCATTAAAATAAACGTATTGTGCATTTATTTCAATGTGTGACATAAAATTAAAATATGGCGCACCCCCAGGCAATCTAGAGAGGTCTACACCAGCGCTTATTGATACAACAGATTGAAATAAATGTGATGCAAGATACCCAAATATTATATGGTCAGTGCTCTCCATTCTTTAAATTAGATAGCCAAACAAAGCAGCTGTGGTTAGCTCAATGTGAAGAGCTCAATGCCTTGTTAAACATTTCATGGAACACAAGTACACTTTTTAAACACTTCTATTTCTGTTATTTTTAAAACAATTTTTTTAATATTTCATGGTATTTGTTCCCACTGAAAATTTGTCCATCGCCACTTTGAAGTTCTAAAAGATGCTTTTGAGTTGAGCTGGTTGAAATTTCCATCAAAAAGATCCTTCATTAAAAATGGGGTTTCACTGAAAATGATTCCATGGGAAAACGTTGTGACAATTTTTCATTTTTCAAAAAAAACAGTCTCTAAATGAAAATTTTCAGGAACACACAATTTAAGCATATTCAAAATTTTTCATTTAGAAATTGTGAGAAAATGTCCACCTTTTCAACCACATGTTTCCTCTAAAAAAGTGGGGAAAACAATAAAAACATTTTTTTAAAGTGTCAGAAACAATAACATTTTCACTTTTGCAAGTAATATTTACTCTCACTTTTTAAACTTTAAGAAAAAGTAACAATGATATTTCTCTCAATTGGAAAACAAAGTGCAGAAAAAAACAAATTACACTGGACTCACTTTAAGATGCAACTGAGGCTTGGTCTACACTACCACTTATGTTGGTATAACTACATCACTCATGGGTGAGGAAAATCCACATCACCCGGTGTAGACAGCACTATGCGAATAGGAGGTATTCTCCCGTTGACATAGCTACCGCCTCTCAGGGAGGTGGAATACCTACACTGATGGGAGAAGCTCTCCTGTCGGCATCGGTAGCATCGGTGCAGCTGAGCCACTGTAAGTGTAGACAAGACCTTAACATATCAAATCCTGTTCTCTAAACACTCACTAGCAGCTGCATAAGGCTTTCCTTTTGCATCTTTAAAACTTTATATTTGCCGTAACTGTTTAATAACCAGAGAAGCTTTCTGGAAAAGAGATCCATTTTGAGGAAATATTGTTTGATATCCAACCCTTACATTGCAGCTCAAGGCAGGAAGGAACAGGGAAGGTGGAGGAAAATGCTATTTGGAGGATGGACTAATTTACCTGGTGGGCTATACCAGTGAGAGTTTTTAGGAACAGTGATACATCTCCGCCACAATCCAACTGTGCCATTGCACCGGAACAGTGCATCTGTATAAGTCTTCTCATCTGCGTCCATACTGATGAATTCCTCCAAAATACTCCTGCCAAGTTCGCTGGCATTTCCAGCTGGGCTATGGTACTCATACCAGAAATCTGTACCGATTGAGGCTGCCATATAAATGGTGGAAATGAGGCAGAGCACGCAGGCAATTACTAGAGCTGTAGCAAAGCGGTTATCCATCATGGTGTTCCAACTGCGGGGGGAGGCGGAGGGAGAGAAAGGTGAGAAACACAGAGGTTCAATTAATAATAATGGTAACCCCCCGAGACCAAGCACAAGGTTGACTCTGCTGGGATAAACTGCTCCCTTTATCCATCGACCAATCCCCCCCGGATGCATAACAACATCTCTTCCTTTTCTTGTTCAACATGCGGCAATGAAGGAGCAATGTTTCCGTCCAAATCCTGAACCTTCAGTTGATTATAAACGGCTCAAGTGATCAGTGAACATTTAAGATGAAATATTAACCAAGGTCCCTTCTACCACAGTAATCCTACTTCACTTGTCTGTCTGGCCCATTACAGTGCCCACACCCAATGCAACTTCATTTGCAACAGACATCCACTCATGCTCAATTACCACAGGTGTATTCGTTTACAGAAAAGAAACTGTCATGCTTCTAGCCCCAGGCAGGACTCAGTAGGAGTAGGAAGCAGACACAGTAAAATAACTGCTTGGGAGAGAACACAAGGAGTACAATGCACACTTTTAAATGTTTATGTCATACCATAAAATCCTTTACAAATTGTCAGTTATGTGCCAAAGCATATAGGAAGTGCTTTAATTGAGATTTAAAGATGGGAAGGGACTAAGTATATGTCTACACTGCAATTAGACACCCACAGCTGGCCAATGCCAACTGACTCGGGCTAAGGAGCTGTGTAGTTGTGGGGGTGTTCAGACTTGGACTAGAGTCTGGGCTCTAGGATCCTTTGAGGTGGGAGGGTCCCAGAGCTCGGGCTGCAACTCAAGCCTGAATATCTACACCGCAATCAAACAGTCCCTTAGCCCGAGCGGGCCAGCTGTGGGTGTCTAACTGCAGTGTAGACCTACCCTCAGTGACTGGGAGAGTGGAGGGAATTATTAAGATTTATAAAGCTTGGTAGTGATGTGTCTCACTTTTCTCTTTCGTCCACAAGGATCTAAAATTGCTTTACAGAAGGTATATTTAGTAGCATTGAGTGTGTCAGTGTTCTTGGTTCTATACAATTTGGGTAGTGGCAAGCAAGTAATAAGTGAGCTTAGAGTCTAAAAAGGGATGATGGACACAAAACACAGCAGCATACGGACCCTGAAGTACGAATGCTCTGTCAAATATTGTTTTGTTTTTATGTGTTTTTATTAAAGTAGGTAAGGGAGATTGATGTACACTGATTACAACAATAAGAGAAGTGAGAGAATGCCCAAAGAATGGAGTAGGTGAAGGAGAAAGTGCACACAAGAAAAAAAGCTATTTTCACAGCAGCAAGTGATGAAGCTGGGGACGAGGTGATAAAGTAAAGAATGGAGTGAAAGCTTTCAGCAAGCAGCAGCTTACATTTCATATAGAAGAAAAGAGAAAGTCATCATAGAGAGCTGAAAAAAGGGGGAAGTCACAGTCAGAGTAACAAGAAAGGAAGAGAATTTTACAAAAACATTTTAGTAGGACTGCAGGATAGGAAAGATGGGACCATGCAAGGACAAAGAGGAGGTGAAACCAGCCTCACAGCCTGGCAGGGTTCTAAGTGAAATTACTCCTGGGGGAATTCTGCACTGCTATGCAGATTTCCTCCCCACCCCACAAAAAATACATTCTGCTGGGGAGGTCCTGTAATTACAACTGTTGCCCACCAGGGGCTGCTGTGGTGCCAGATGAGAGAGCAGGTAGCTCCAGGCTGGAGCAGCCAGTCACAGAGTGGGAGAAGGAAAGGTTGCTTTCCTCACAGTGCCCTGCCAGTGGGACCAGGTGAGGAGGCACTGGATAAGGGCGGGGACAGACAACGCAGGGCAAACAAGGCTGCTGTGGGGGTCACATAGACTGAGTTCAGAAGGGTAAGGGGGGGTGGGAGGGGACAGGTGGGGGCACAGGAACTAGTAGGGTGACAGCCTTGAGCCAGGATCTGAATGGGAGTGGAGGTGCAGGGGCACAAGGAGGCAGGAGATTGGGGGTTCAGGGACACATGGGGATGGAATGCAGGGACACACGGGGATGGGGGAGTGGCTGAGTGGGGGTGCAGGGACACACGGGAACATGTGCAGATATGCCTGACTGAATGTGAGAGACTACGGATTAGCTAGGGTCTGCATGGGGGAGGCTCCCCAACTCCCTAACAATCCCTCCCCCTCCAAAAAACTGTTCCATATGTCTCCCATCAACACCCAACAACCCTCCAGATTCACTCCCAAGCTCCTTCCCAGCAATTACTTCCCTCTCCCTCAGCTCCTCCATTACTCCTGACTCTCCCATGCCTTTGCACTGCTTCTGAGTAGTGTGGGAAATTAATTTAAATACAATACAGAAATATATTATTATTCAAAGTTCTATATTAATATTCCTGTTAAAGAATATTTGTAAAAAAACATTCCATGGATCTTTTTTATCATCTGTATTGTTAGACATATTTGCTGATGGGTATTTTGAAATGAATTACCAAAATAATTGAAACTGGCATGATTATATTGTGTTATTTTAATAAAATATGCAGAATTTTAAAATATTGTGTGAATTTTTAATTTTTTGGTGCAGAATTCCCCCAGGAGTAAATAATATATCCAACTGGAATAGGGAGAACGTAAATGCCCTAACTGAAATTTGCTCAGGACACTAGGGAAAAATATCTTGGGTGTTGATCAGGGCCTTAGTTTTACACCTGTTAACAAAACAGTCAGAAAATGACCGTGACACAAAGTGGGGGGAGGTTCTCTTGGTTTTTTCAATGGTTTGCATGCAGAGGGGGTGAGACTCAGTTTCCCTGGGTGTTACTGGCTTAATGAGTTGTTACAGAGGACCGGCGATGGCACTTGGGACCCCAGCCAATGGCCTGGAGAATGGATACCCCAGCAACTGGTGACCTGGTGGCCCAGCTCGGGAGTCACAGCAGGTTCTGGCCAGTGGGGTGCAAAGGATAGCTGAGAGAAGAGGAAGTCCAGACAACCCTGTTTACCTGGATGGAAGACAATGGACAGAGACGGGGCTTGGGGAAGGTGATATCAGATGCCCAGCTGGAAAGCATGGGGATTTGGGACTGGAGAGGGAGAGCAGGCAGAGCCCACCTGGATGCAGGAGAGACTTAGATGTGCTGTGCTGAGGGAGGCCAGGCCTGAGGGCCCTGAGAGTTTCCTATGCTGTGTTCAGACACTCAAACTCTCCTGTTTTATGCTGGCTAAGAGTCACTCCAGTCTAGAGATCATGGTTGCATTATTCCCTCTGGGAGTGGAGGCCCCAGGGTTCCAGAGCGAATGGACTACCTGAGGGGCCCACGGCGAGAGACAGGTGTGCTAAGGCTCAGAGAGGTGCGGTTCCAGAAGGTGGAGGGGGTCTAACCCCCGAGAGAGAGTGGACCCCCGAGAAGGGCTGTCACACTGAAGGGGGTTCCCTCCAGGGGCTGTGCGGGCCAAGAGTGGGCATGACTTGTGAGTTTGTGACAGACTGCACTGAATCTCATGGGACCAAAAATCCAGGAAAATAGCACTCAAGAGAATTTAACTGAAGGCAGATAATGAAAGAACTCAAATTAGCATTGACCCCCCTCCCCTAGCCTCCAATTATTAACTTTCTCCTGTTTCCTCTATTGCACTAAAATCAGCATGCCTCTTTCACATTGCAGCATCCAATTTACACAAAATGTGCTTCTTTTTGGAAGTGAGGGAGGAAAATCCCAGAATACCCTATTTACCCTTTTTTACTTTCTTCAGAAGTCTTACAGTGTGGTGATCCTCCCTCTGTATAAGGATAAAAACAGTGCCCTGTTTTTAAGACCCCGAGAGGAAGGGAGGTTATTCAAAACTAACTTAAAATTCTGCCTCTGAACTGCCCTGAGATCACTGGTGCTGAGTTCACTGTGGAGCAACTTATTTATCGAAGGTACTGAGCATTTTGTTTTGTTTTTTTGTAGCAAGCAGAAAAATGAAGTGCAAATTTCCCATCTGCCCTAACGGCTCCATTCATTCAGCTTTCTCTTATACACCATCATTTCACAAATGATGATCTATTTAGAGGGACATAAATGAAGTAAAAAGCAACAAAGAGCCCTGTGGCACCTTATAGACCAACAGAAGTATTGGAGCATAAGCTGTCGTGGGTGAATACCCACTTCGTCAGAGGCAGGTATAAATATGCAGGCAAGAATCAGTCTAGAGATAACGAGGTTAGTTCAATCAGGGGAGGATGAGGCCGTCTTCTAGCAGTTGAGGTGTGAACACCAAGGAAGGAGAAACTGATCAGCTCAGGATTAAACAAAGACTGCGAATGGCTAGCCAACTACAAAAGCAGTTTCTCCTTCCTTGGTGTTCACACCTCAACTGCTAGAAGAGGGCCTCATCCTCCCCTGATTGAACTAACCTCGTTATCTATAGACTGATTCTTGCCTGCATATTTATACCTGCCTCTGGAAATTTCCACCACATGCGTCTGACGAAGTGGGTATTCACCCACGACAGCTTATGCTCCAATACTTCTGTTAGTCTATAAGGTGCCACAGGACTCTGTTGCTTTTTACAGATCCAGACTAACACAGCTACCCCTCTGATAAATGAGGTAGTTTAAGCCTACTATTTAACTTCTATTTTAAATAACTAACCTTACAAAATTGTTAATTTAAAAAAAGTCAATGAAAACATTTGCTTGAATGCAAAAATTCCAGTGTGTAGTCCTAATATTGGACCACCGTGCTCACACCCAGGAAGCAGGAGGTGAAAGTAGCCAGTCCAGTTTCACTGACCAAGATACATGAACCATAAATGAGTGGGTGAATAGTTAAGTTCCTCAAATTCTGTCCTGATGATTTCTCAGATAATCAGTGACGCTAGTAAGAAAATTTATGAAAGTTAACAAAAGGAGAGAATACGACTTTTAACCTGACAGTGTCCTTTATCTCACACAGGCGGCTAGCAAGGGCAATGGTGGTGTTGAGAGGTATTTCATTATATTTAATTGGGCGGGGTAGAAGGAGAAACATGACAGGCACCAGCCTCTGAGAGGAGGAGATTGTAGGGATTTGAGAAGGGGTGTGACTCAAAGTGAAAATAAATTAATAAAAGGGAATAAAAATCAATATGCACAAAATCCTCAGAAGAGGAAAAAACCCATTACCTCCCCCCCCCCGTGCCCTGCCCCCACCTCCCTCTGTCCTCTTCCCCCCCCCCGTGCCCTGCCCCCACCTCCCTCTGTCCTCCCCCAAGCCCTCCTCGGTGCCCTCCCTTTGTTCGCCCCCACCTCAGTGCCCTGCCTGTACTCCCCCCAATGTACCCCCTCAGCGCACTCCTCCTGTTACCCCCCACCCGTGCCCCAACTACCCATATCCCGCCCCGCACTCACCGTCCACCGCCTCATTCCCCCTTTCCGGCTCCGCGGTGCCGTTTCCGTCTCCCACCCCCGCACCACGCGGGGAGAGGGAGCAGCCCGGAGACGCTCATCCGCCCCCCAGCCGCCGGGCATCCTGGGACTTGTAGTGCCCCGTTGGCTCCTCGGCGCTCGCGGCGGGCCCGGCGCGGGGCATCCTGGGCCTTGTCGTTCACCTGGAGGGTTGTTCGCAACGCATCCCGGGAGTTGTAGTCTGCACAGCGCTCGGCATCCTGGGAGTTGTAGTCTGTCACTCCCTGGGCAGTGCGCCCCCTAGGCGCTGGTGGGGCAGGGAGCAGCTACATTTGTGCCTGGGCAAAGCAGAGTTAGGGCCACCTCACATGCATCTGGTTGGCTCTTCTCCTCACCTCTGAGGATAGAGAGCAAATCCTCTGCAATCCCCCAGTGTGGCTGGGCACCTGCAACTCACCAGTCAGCATGGTAAAAATCATAATTAAAAAATTATTAAAAAACATTCCTTAGATGACGTCATGTCTCCCAGATGTTCCCTGCCCCATTCAAATGGAAGCTGATTCTCACACACTGCCCTGGCAGTATGAGCTGGGGCTTTAAGGAAAACAACAAAGTGTGTGAGACCAGCAATAAATTCACAAGTGTTGACAACAATTACCTCCCCAACCCATCCCCACCCCTCCTACACATCCTGCACAGGTTAAATGAGGGGCCTATAATGGGGAAAGGAATCCATATGTTAAGTGTGTTTTGATTAGAAACCTAGAGTCTAACCACTCCCAGCTTTGGTTTTACAAAACCAAAAACTGACCAACACAATTGTGCAAAACTAAAACAGAAGCCTCCATCAGAGATGCGGTGTGGGATTGCGGGGAGAGGCGGCACATGAGGTCAGATGCCCCCAGGATTTCTGCCAGGGTGTATATGCCCTGCCCTGAACCCTGCTGAACATCACCAGAATCTTTAAATTCTTCCCTCCTGCCCAATCAACAGTGCATGTCCTTCCTGCCCTTCATCCTGGTTCTCCCCATCTCTAATGCTTTTCATAGGACAGTCCCATCCAACTCCACCTCTTGACCAGCTGGAAAGCCTTCCACAGTCCACATGACCCAGAATGCTGTTAACAATGGGGGCGGGGGGGGAAGAGAGAGAGAGATTGGTTTCAAAATAATATTTGAAGCAGAACTTTATTTTTTACAAAAGTTTTCACACACATTTGTTTCAATATTTTAACATTTATTTTCAAACATTTTCATTTAGCATTGTTCATTTTTTAAATGGAAATTTTTAAAAAGGATTTATTTTAAATTTTGAAACATTTTTTCAAATCCCACCATGTGATTAAGATGACATAAAAATTACACAGATGATGACAACAAAATTTTTTTTCTTCTCTGTTTTTCATTTTCTCTTATTTTCCCCTTTCCCCTCTGTATAATATTTGATTGATCATTTTAGCCACATAGCAAGATTTTTTTAAATGTATTTAAAAAAATTTAAAAATTGGAAATTTTGCTATTTTTAAAATAGTAAAAAATGAATTTTTTTATAATAAATAATGATTAAAAGTTTTGCATAAATTTGTCTTTTAAAGAAAAATACAGGTTCTTAATAAGATTTCTTAATACTTGTATGGAAAGATAATGAAGGCTAATACAACAGTTTTATAAAAAATAGCAAAAATAGATTTAAAAAAAAATCTATGTAAAAAGAGCATTTTTAATTAAAAAATTTTGGTTAAAAAATTGTAACCCACTCTAATGACCATCATTTCAAATCCCCCTAAACCGCAGTAGAAATGCCAGTAGACTCCATTAGAATTTTTCAGATAGTCTCTTGGTTTTTACTGCTCACTTGGTTTTTACTGCTCACTTGGTTTCTTCTGTCCTCTTTATTTTTATCAGTGGCCCAGGACCCAGCCAACCAACAGATCGATTCTGTTTTTCCAAACCCTAGTTGTCAACTGTAATTTCCACTAGGAGAGAAACCCAATGGGGGAGAACGTGCCCTACATCTGCCACAACCATCCTGAAGAATAGCCTCGGTTGGCACCTCCATCCACAAAACTACCCCCTTGCCTATATATTGACTCAGTGCCTGCAGTTCTTACCCTAACTAGTGTTACAGCTTCCCCAGTGTTGCAAGACCCTACGGAACAACATGTCCTACATCTGGCATAAACAGCATTTCAGGTATCCTAAACTGGTACCAAACAGAGAAAATGACCCCTCTCAGCTGGCATGCCTCTTGTTATTACAATGACAAGTGTTAAAGAGACCCCAGGCTGGAATCTGTATTAGCTGGGTGCCTGCAAACTTGCCATAGTCAGTGTCAGCAAGACTATAAATTCTTTCCTCTTTAATGGGTGGGCAGATCCTGCTGTTTTTCCCCTTAGTGCAGGCTTCTGAACTGTATCCGGTTATGAGTTATTGCATTCTGTTTTATATCCAAATTTACCTCTGTTCCCCTCATATTATCTCACTGTTTATTACTGTCACTTTTTATTTGATGTATTTATTATTTCATTTTATATAAACACCCCTGGGCAAAAAGCTTGAGGCACATGTAAATTTACAAGAAAAGCACATTTAATAAGTAAATATAAATAGAGAGACTATCAGCCGATTAAAAATCTTGATGTTGGAAATGCTGAATCATGAATCTAAGATTACAGAAAACTTTATTTGCATTCAAGAAATTAAAATCAATATTGCCTTAGACTTCCTATGCCGATAGTGTGGCCATGTATCTCATTTCTGAGTTTATCACAGAATCAGAAGGCGAGTATCACAAATGTACTATCAGCCTTTCACCATTGAGAACAAGGAAATCAACTGGTATGATCGCTATTTTCTGCAAAGCTGCTGCAGCTTTAGGGGAAACACAATTACACTTCAACTTACAGCCATCATGCTTAAGAGCGTCCTAATTTTGCCTTAAATTACCTTGGTTTTTCCCATAGGGAAGACTGGGAATACAGTACTGCAAATATTGAGGTAATATTAGTTCTATATCTAAGGCAATTAGTACATTTTAAGCATGACAAACGTATGTAAAATTGTCCCAAGATGCCTTTTTGAACATTGCAAAAATATAAACATTAAAGGAGAATGGTGCTAATTCAAACTAGTGCTTAGAAATGACTGAATTTAGGGCCAGATTTCAGAAGACTTCAGCTCCCATGTGGCTGCATTTTCAAACGATCTTAGCTGAGTGTTTTGAAAATCTGGCCACCGATCTGGTGACAATGGTGGCTCAGAAGTACTGAGCACATTTGAAAAATCTGGTCCTAATTTAGGTGCATAAATGGGAGCTAAGTTCTATTGAAAACCTGGTTGTAGCTGTGAGTGCCAGAAAATCTGGCCCTACATGAATAAGAGTCCTTACTGAATCAACACAATACAAAAGCAAGGCTAATACTTTTTTGCTGCCTTTTTGACAATTATAGATCACTTTTTAATTATTTATGATAATGCTTCACATTGGACTTGTAAATGTTCTGAATTATTTGTAAAATAATTGTTAGTAATATGATAACTCACTACAGCACCCAGAAAGCATGCTAGATACTCTACAGAACAAATAGAAATGAGCCCTGTTGCAAACAGCGTACACTCTAATTTTTAACTAAACAAATGTGCTTAACAAACTGTAGGGAAGGGATGGAGTGTGAAACTATAAAGGTACAACTCTGTAGTTTTTCAATTTGGGCACATGCATATCTTGATGACTCAGTTAAGGTCTTTTTAAATATTTATAACTGATTCACTTCTTGTGAGCATTGTGGAAAAAGTTAATCTTAAGGAGAAACTGCTATTAAATCGTTAATGATGAGAGATGGGGAGAGAGCCCTGCATACATTTATGAGCGTCCCCTGAATCTAGTTCTAAATACACTATAGAGGAATATATCATATGTATTTGCTAGCATGCTGGAATTATTGTGGAGCTAATTTTAATTTAGCATATTTCCTGACACAGTGACTGAAGGGAAAGGAATGCCCATCCCATCCCATCTGGGTATACAATTTTGCAAGTGATTTTTGAAGGAAAAAGTCCCTTTGAATAGAAATGAATGAAACTGGCTCAGTTCTCAACTCACTGTTAGAGCTGGTTGAAAACTTCTGAATTGAAACATTTTTAAAAGAAATACAGGGACAAAGTTTTGCGAAAATTATTCTTATTTTTCAGCCATCTCTAGTCACTGTGCCACAGAATCACAGAAATAAGAGATGGGAAAGATCTTTTATCTCGTTCAGTCCAAGGGGTCTCAAACCTTTCTATTCTATGATCACTTCATAACAGAGATCTTTTCACAGACCACCTCATATCCAAAAAACACCAAATCCCAAACCAGTTGGCTCTCAACATCTTTCATTCAGTGGACCAATGGGAAAGTTCTCTGGATCACTGATGATTCATAAATCTAGTCTATCCTTGTGCCTGGGAAGGACAGATACTACACATTTGTATAGGTGATAGTCACTGTAACCAGAAAATCAGTTGACAAAATAAGCCAAGGTATAAACCTCCAAGCCTTAGAAAAATATATAAACAGACTAACAACAATTTAGTCGAGAGAGAGAGAGGAAAAAAGAACATAATGCTGTATTAAGCACTTCCTGGTTTCTCTCCATCACCTCAAACCTTCTCACCTATAATAATATCCCGCTTAAAGAGAAAGAAAGAAAAAAACCTTACCCAAACAGTTCAAAACCTTTAAAAAAAAAAAGCCAACCTTAAAAGCCATCATGGTCAAATGCAAAATGCAGATAAAAATCAGTTAGACAAAAAAATACAACTTAACCCAATCAACTCCTACAGAATGTCTGACTTGAGTGGGTTTGACTAATCAGACCCTCCTTTTGCTTGTCTTTATATGATTGGCTGAGAGGGATGCAGAATTGTGAATATCAAAGTGTGTGAGGGGGTGTGCGGGGGGGTGTATGGGGGTGTGGTTTTTTTTTTAAGATGTTTCTTAAGATCTTTTGAAAAAAAGAAGATCAGCACTGCTGTCTCTGATGATAATAGTAAGGGTGGTGTCAGCTCGTCCGGAGACGGAGT